TATGTATTATATATATTTACCTTCATTGGGATAGTTATATCATAGCAACCCTACAGGACAGAGTAGAACTGCCCTGTAGGGTTTCCAAGGAGTAGCTTGTAGATTCAAACTTCTGACCTTTTGGTTAGCAGCCAAGCTCTTAACCACTGCACCACCAGGGCCCCGTTTTTATCTCAGCTTCATACATTTTTTTGTTAATTTTGTTGCTTTCTGTTAGCTAACTGATTATTTCTTATTCACGCTCACCAAAGGAATTAGCAGCAAAAGTGGTTCAGATGTTCCATGTGGCGGAGCCGAAGCAACTGCCCTACATTCTCTGTAGTCCTTCTATGAAGAATATTAACCCTTTAACCGCCATGAACTATCTAAGGAAGCTGGATACTTCTGGGTTTTCCTCGATCTTGGTGACGTTGGCCAAGGCAGCAATGGCTCTGAAGATAGGAGATCTTGAGACGCACAGAAAAGAAATGAAAAGCCATTCAGAGGTATGGGGCCCTGCCTGTCAATCACACCAGACTAAAATAGGACCCACCAGTCCTGAGGTGCTTCGCTTTCTTCTGACATCTTTCTAGCTCAGTTTTTCTTCGTTGCAAGGAAAATAGGATGAGAAGGGAAGTGACCCAAATGGAGGTGCTTAGGACTTGAGATCTGGCAAATGAAAAAGAAATAAGACTGATAAATGGTGGCAATGAGTATCCAAAGACCTTTCAGCCTAGAAAGTCAGGTGCGTTCAGAGCACTGTGCTTGGTGCTGAAGAATCTACAGGCCCTGCCCCTTGCCGATAGTCTGATCTGGCATGAGGGATACGGTGTATGCACCCAAAACAGAACAGAGTGATGTGTACTTGAGTATGGCGAGTGGGATGTTGACTGTAAGTCGTGGGAGTCTGGTAGTTGTAGAGATAACTTCCGCTTTCACAGAAGACCTATGGAGGATTGGGCATTTGAATGGCGTCTTGAAGGAAAGGTGGCTTTCTTTTGGAAAGAGTTCATTTAGGGACATGAGCCAAAGATGTTTATCATTTAGGGAGAAGGAAATACATGTAATATTGAGCACTTATTAGGTACCAGGCCTATTCTAAGCCCCATGAATATGTGAGTTAATTCTTGTAACAGTCCTGTATGGTGGTGCTATTACTGTATCTGTTATACAAATGAGGGAACTGAGACACAGAGAGGTTAAATAGCTTGTCCAGGGTCACACAGCTGGTGAGTAGTAGAGCCAGGATTTGAACCAGGCAGTCTGGCTCCACTACTGATTTTGTTGCCTACCTTTGGTCGGGGCCCACAATATGACTTTCGATTCTAAAACAAGAACGTCAGAAGTGTGTTATCACTGGATAGATGATGGGTTTTATATGAGAGCAAGTCGACATCAAGGCCTTCTTTGCTTTGAAGAGTAGGATTCTTAAAAAATGAATTTTCCTTCCACAGTTTTGAAAAAAATTTGTTCTTATATATTTTTAAATCAAATAGACCTGAATATGAAGCTCTCTACTAAATTAGGACATCTTGCTGCTTAAGAATGTAAATATTAGTAACTTCTGTAAGTCAGCATAACAATAATGTCCTTCTTAGGGTAATAAGTAGACTTTGTAGTAAAATAAAAATTGAGATAAGAGTAAATTACTAATAGTTTAACCATGAATTGTGAATGCCCTAGCGTGTATTTCCAAGATGGACAACCTGAATGCAATGTATATTTTATTCCTAAATTTCTTTTTATGTGAAGATGAAGTTGGTATGTGGCTTCATTCTGGAACCTCGGCTTCTGATTCAGCAGCAGAAGGGGCAGATTTTTCCAACTGAGCTTGCAGTTCACTTGAAGGAGACCCAGCCTGGATTGCTTGTGGCTTCAATCCTGGGCTTACAGAAGAACAACAAAATGGGAATTGAAGAAGCAGATTCCTTCTTTAAGGTTCGTTTCTACGAAAATGTAATTTATCAGGATGGCTAGATGAAATCGGTGAGGGAGGAGAGAATCGATAAGAAAAGTGAGTTTTTCATTTATTTGTGTGTTTGTTGGAAAAACCGGATTACACACAGTTTATAAGATAATAGTACAAACTGAACGAATATATCTGAGGGAATTGCATTCATACAACCTGCGATCTATTTCCTGCTAAAATGTCTAAATTTGCTTTTGTTGTGGCGCTAATGCTAATGGTAAATCATTAACTGCATGGCCTACAAGTTGCTGTGATACCCAGCTGTAACTTGATCAGTGCGATATTTATCTGGGGACATCGGTGCTTGTTTCGCTGTTTTCCAAGGTGCTTTGTGGCAAGGATGAAGACATGATTCCTCAGCTCTTGGTAGACTTCTGGGAAGCTCAGCTTGTGGCGTGTCTCCCAGATGTGGTACTTCAGGAACTGTTTTTCAAGCTCACATCACACTACATCTGGAGATTATCCAAGGGGCAGCCCCCTGACTCCACACCGTTGCGAACGTCAGAGGATCTGGTATAATGGAATAATACGTTAAACTGCTACATTATGTTCAGTAATACACGTTTTTATTTTTAATGGCTTAGAATCAAACCTAGTTTGTTTTACCAGATATTTAAGCAGGAGCTAAAAATGCACTTAAGGCTTGTCTGTGACGAAGTTGCCCACATTTTAAATAATCCTATATTCTAAAGATGCCCCCAGCCTCTCCCATATTACCTAATGGTAGTAGAACCTCAGTAGCCAATCATGTGGGAGGGGGCTTTCCCAGAAACATCACCACGTCTGCCTGCCCTCGGTAGAACAAGAGAAAAGAGACATCTGCAGACTTCCACGATGGGAGAGGAACTGCAGAAGGCTTGTGGGAGGAGACTTCGTTACTAGGCCGCCATTTCCCGTGGGCTGCACACGCAAGAGCTGTTCTGGAGCACCTGGGGCGGCCATAACAAGTCCTTTCTACCCTTCTCGCCCTGTCCTCTCTTCCAGCCCCTTTACATCTCCTGAATGCCATGGGTAATAGAGGTTACCTAGGAAAGTCACCAACTTCTTGAATAAGGGGGGGCTTTATGGAGCCCTTGTGGTGTAGTGGTTAAGAGCTGCAGCTATTAACCAAAAGGTTGGCAGTTCGAATCCACCAGCTGCTTCTTGGAAACCCTATGGGGCAGTTCTACTCTGTCCTCTAGGGTTGCTATGAGTTGGAATCAACTCGATGACAATGGTTTTGGTTTTTTGTTTGTGTAGGAACTTAAGTCTTGAGAACTTATGGAAGATATTTTGCCTCCCAAGGAAAGTAGTATAAGTAAAAATTTTTTCCAGTATTACTGTTAACTCTTTTTGAGTATAATTATCTTAAAAGCAGTGTTCTTTTTGCTAGGAAGGGGAATACATTCTAAAAGACATTCCAGTCCCAGGGAAAGTGAATACCTAATTCTGTAACATGGCAGAGGATTAATGATGGCTTGTATTTTGTGGAATGGATGAAGAAATTTTTTTTTTAAATTCTGTTTATGATAAGCGTCTTTTGCGTTTTAGATAAATGCCTGCAGTCATTATGGCTTAATCTATCCATGGGTTAACATCTTAATATCATATGATTCCTCGGCTGATAAAAATTACACAGAAGACCTTTCAAAATTACAGGTAAATAAACATGCCTCTTTTTCTTTTGAATATACATGTTACAATATAATGTAAGATTTAAATGTGGCAAGACTTTGGGTGTCCTGTTCTTTGACAGTGTCTAATTTTGGAGGGCAGAACCCATGGTTAGACATACTCGGGAGTTTTGGAAGGAATTCCTGCCTCTGTCTGCCCTGCAAGGCTCGATTCATTTCAGGTAGATGGGTGAGCTTCACCAGTCACATAACTTTCTTGCCTCATTTTCAGGATGGCCTGGAAAACCATTGGTGAAACAAAAGTGTGGCAAATACTTAGTAGTGTTTTTCTTGATCTAATTCTTTTTTTTAAGTGTTGACTGACACATTTCAGGCCACTAATCCAAGTCAACCACTACTATCTGTCTTATAGGAAATGAGCCAAGCTAACCTCCTAAATAGGATTTTTAAAAAGTAGTAAGAAGCATGATGATGTAATAGAGACCATCCTGCGTGAATTCTGACTGTGACAGTGTTTTGACTGGAAATGAGAAATAAAGTCCACATTTGACTTGGTGGATCAGGCTGGCCTGGATGTGCAAGCAATTTTGTTTCATGTAGAAGTAAATATTTCATGTAGATTGGCAGCCCAAATCTACATCAGAGTCCTAAGAGAGGAACCAGGCCTCAGACCTAAATCTGTCTGCCTGTAACTCATGCCCTTGGCCATGACACAGTGGTGCCCCTCCTTACTATTCATTCAATTAAAGCACGCACACTATACAAAAACTACTAAAGAAGCTTCCCATTCCCGACTCCAAAGTCTGACACATGCCCCCTTCCCAGAGCACCCTAAGGAAACCAAATGCACTGCTGTCGAGTCGATTCTGACTCCAAGGAGCAGCTGGTGGATTTGAACTGCTGACCTTTTGGTTAGCAGCCAGCCTCTTAAGCACTGCGCCACCAGAGCTCCTCCATAAAGATGACAGCCTTGGAAACCCTATGGGGCAGGTCTACTCTGTCCTGTAGGGTTGCTACGAGTCAGAATTGACTTGACGGCAGTGGGTTTGGTTGTTGTTGTTTTTTTTTTGATATTTATTGTTAAATTTCTTGCTGATATGGATAAAGCTAAGTAAAATTTCATGGACAGACTCCATTTTGTACCAAGTTTGACTGAGTTCATTTTAACTATGATTTGGGTTATCCCTGCCTTGTTCCTTTCCATTTCTGCCTATTGTTCCATTTAATCAGAAGTTGAATACAGAAATAACCCATATTTTCTCTCACTTTGGGAGATCCTGTGCGTGAGAGATTACCACCTTGTTTCACCTTTGCTGTGTTATAGTCAGGAAATTATGCACATGAAGGTGATTACTAAACACACAGAAAGTAAAGGGACCAACCTTATTCTCCTAGCCGTTCCTTGGGAGAGATTTGAAAAAAGAGTATCAAGCTGACTGTAAATGGATAGTTCATATTCCATATCCTCCTGTGGGTCTGAGAAGATGCTGTAGCGAAAGGGATGCAGAGAGAAGAAAATCAGGACATGCCCATCTCATCTTTTTCCAGGAGAAAGGGGAAGTGGAAAGTATTTTGGTAGTAGAATCAAAAGTCATATTTATACTTTAAATGCCTCATAGTAACATATTAGTAAAATTCTGAATGCGGAAGTAATCCTGCCCCATGTCATTGAGCTTGTGGCAAATGATGTGAACACATATGATTAGGTTCTAAACAAAGGCTTTAGTTTTTTTTAATGTTAATTTTTTTTCCTGGTTGTATATGTAGTGCTCATTATAGAAAACACGGGACAGTGTTAAGGAGAAAACAAAAAATGTGCTTTGTCTTCCATCTAGCGAGCTAATCTCTGTTGTGATTTTTGGTGCTCTAAAAATGATATTTCTATATACGCATGTACCCGTGTGCATTTTACAAAAGTGTGATGATGCTTGGATATAATTTGGGTTGATATTTTTTGTACTCATATTATCATGAGCATTTTCTCATTAAATAGCCATTGAAAACATAATTTTAATGGTTATATGATATTCTATCATACAAATGTGCTGTAGTTTATTTACCCGTACCCTGTCAAAAAAGGTCGGCAGTTTGAATCCACCAGCCGTTCCTTGGAAACCCTATGGGGCAGTTCTACTCCATCCTATAGGGTTGCTATGAGTTGGAATCAACTCGATGGCAGTGGATTTGGTTTGGGTTTTTTTTGGTATATTGAACATTGAGATTATTTCTAATTTATCGGTATTAAAAGTACTGTTGTGGTGAACCTGACCAGACAAAAATCTTTGACCATATAGTTGATTATTTCCTTAATGTAGAGTCCTAAAGCAGTCACAGTGGTTTTAATTTACAGTCCATCCAAAGCAAATAAAACCATGTGTTTAAAAAATGGTTGCTTTCTATTAAATAGATCTTTATTCTTTAAACTAGTTGTGGTTTCAAGACTGTTTAATACTTTAGCCCACTTCGATTTATTAAATAAGAACCACATGCATGTGCTATAAAATTGCATTCTACTTTTTTTTTTTCTTTCTTTTGGTGAGTGAGGTTTAGTCTTTTGTAAAAATTGTGTCGTGTATGTTGTGTTTTCGATTTTTGGGTGCCTCATTCATTCCATGACATTTCACTTTTCTGTTCATAGTCTCTTATATGTGGTCCTTCGTTTGACATAGCTTCCATTATTCCGTTCTTGGAGCTGCTTTCAGAAGACACTGCTGCTGGCCTCAGTGTCCATGTTCTGTGTCGCACGCGCTTGAAAGAGTATGAACAGTGCATAGACACACTGTTAGAGCGGTGCCCGGAGGCCGTCATTCCATATGCTAATCATGAACTGAAAGAAGAGAACCGGGTATGCTTTTCAGACCACCTTTTTAGATGTGATCAGTGATAATCAGATTTGATAATCCTGTTGCCTGATCTGCAAAATGGGAACAAATTGGCCCAATCTCACAGGATTATGTGGGTCAAATGACTGTATATGTTTAATGTATGTTATGGTGATGATGGGGTCCCTGGGTGGTGCAGACAGTTAAGCGCTCAACTACTAGCCAAAAGGTTGGCGGTTCATACCCACCTAGAGGTGCCTTGGGAGACAGGCCTGGCCATCTGCTTCTGAAAAGTCACAACCTTGAAAACACTATGGAGGAGTTCAGCTCTGCACACACGGGGTCACTATGAGTCAGAATCATCTCAACGGCAACTAACAGCAACCACACTGACCAAAAGGTCGTTGGTTCGAATCCATCCAGACAAAAGATCAGAGCCATTGAAAACCCTGTGGAATGCAGTTCTACTCTGAAACAGTGGGGTTACCACGAGTTGGAATCGACTTTACGGCAGCTGGTTTAGTTCATGGTGATAGTTTGTTATCTTCATTAAAAATCTCTTGTTGGTGATGAAGTCGGTTATTACCAGAAGATTCGGGAAGCTATGTATGATGGAAAAACTTTCTGTGCCGTATGTCTTTTAGTTGAGAAATTAGAAGAGTTCTAGACTTCGGTACCTTATTTTTCTTTCTTCTTGCCACCTAAGAGATGGTAACAGGATACGTCTGTGTTTCTTCTTAAAAATAACCATGCGCATATGTATAATAATGCTTAGTATTGGCTTTTCAAGTTACGAATCTGACTTTTATAACAGTTCAAGCAGAAGACTCACTGCTGCTGTAACCTCTGTTATAGCAAAGCTTGGTACCTTAAACAAAATGAGAGATTTTTGTCCAGTGATTTCCTATACAGTCTCCTAATTCTCATTGGAAATCTGGGTTTTTGTTTTATGAGTATTTGTTTTTATCGAACTCAGATTTATTCATTTTTTCATAAGATAGACTCTGTGGTGGAAGAAACTGCTGCCTGAGCTTTGTCAGAGAATAAAATGTGGCGGAGAGAAATATCAGCTCTACTTGTCATCATTAAAAGGTAAAATGATTTTTTTCCCCTGGATCATAAATTTTAAAGTCTTAATTTTAGTTTCCATAATTTGTCGAAGCTTTGCTTTCTCTAGCGTTTTCCTGTGAATCTCGACTGCGGTGAAGAGGGTCTGGGCAGAATCATCTGGAGAACTTAAGTTTCCCCCTCCCCGTCATCACATTTAATATCCACTTGCGGTGGTTAAGAGCTACAGCTGCTAACCAAAAGGTCGGCAGTTCGAATCCACCAGCTGCTCCTTGGAAACCCTGCGGGGCAGTTCTACTCTGTCCTATAGATTCGCTATGAGTCAGAATCCATTCGATGGCAGCAGGTTTGCTTTTTTTATTTTTTTTAATCTCTTCTAGTCATGGAGCTGTTACTCTTTTAAATTAATCTTTCCAAATATTTAACAACTTATCACAGACATAGAAACTCACAACTTTAATATTTTAAAACTTTGAGTAGCCATTAAGACAATTAAATTTTTTATTAGTGATCTGGGTGCTTAATTTACGGTATGTAGGAAATTGAGATTATTATTATTATTATTAATCACAGTTAAAAACATCTATTGAGGAATTACAAAATTCTCAAGGATTTAAAAGTTGACTGTATGTAGTATTTTACAGTATAGTTATTGGAATTTTTATAATTTTTAAATAGTCATTTATAAATTCTGATACATTTTTGAAATCAATTTTTATACCGTTTTGTGTTAATATCAGTAATTAATCAGCAGCCCGATGATTAAGAGCAAGTATTGATTGAGGTGTGCTTAAAATATTAGAAATTGGTAGAGTTGGAGTTATGGTTTCCCCTGAAGAAACTGAAGTTTGAAGTGTTCGGCAGAGCCAGCAGCTATTGTAGGTGGTTTTTGCACGGATCCTCATTTAATGAAAGTTTTGTTTGTGATTGGGAGGACAGGTAGGTAATTTGATACTAGCTCTTCGTCCTACCCATCTTCTGAGTGTTTTTGGTTTTCGGAAGATGGGAAGTGTCAGATGTTTGATGCCTTGATCCACTTGCATCGCATTTATCATGGAATTTCGAAATGATTATGTGTGTTGGTGAATCATGTTCTAATGCCGATATCCCAGGCAGGTCTTCACATCTCGGTAACATGGTTATCTTCTTCATCCTTTTATGATCCACATACACAAACTATCTCTGGCTTACCCATAATCCTTTCTCCAAAAATTCCATTTTTCTCTGTCTCAATATATTTGTGTGTGTATATATGTGCGTGTGTGCATGTGTGTGTGGCTGATGGACTAAGTGTTGTGTGTGATTTACCTTCAACTAGATTGTCATATCTTGGGAGCTGGCATAGTGTTCTCTTTACTTTTAACACTGCCCTCCTCCCTAGCAGTGTGCCTCTCCCTAGGGAGCAGTCTGTAACTATGATGTGGAGGGGAGACACCTGAACTTCAGGTCCTTTTTTTTTTTTTTTTTAATTGTTGTAAAATTATAGGTAACACCACATTTGGCAGTTCAACATTTTTTCCGTATATAATTCAGTGAGATCAATAACATCATGTGCAACCATCACCAGTGTCTTTTGCCATATTTTCTATCCCCATAAACAAAAACCCATTGCATCCTAAACAATAATTTCCAAACAAAAACCTCTGAGCTCTGTATATTTGTACCGGTCCGTTTTTAAGGGAGATCTTTCTATTGCCAGCTTTAGTATCCTGAGAATAGCATAGGATTGGAGAATGGAGAATTGGAACTGAGGTCCAAGTTTGCCACTTGCTAAGTGAGCTGCAGCAAGCTGATTTTTAATATCCTGAGGCTGATGGGAAGTAAAGTGTTAGGCAAAATTACAAGAGGGTTAGGTTGGACATGGAGGTCAGGGACTTAACGTGCTTCGGAGCTTGGATTTCTCATCTCTAATAGAGCGCTTCTTCGCCTGCGCACTATTGATATTTTGGACTGGATCATTCTTTGTTGTGGGGTATCCTGTGCATTATAGAATGTTTAGCAGCATCCCTGGCCTTTACCTACTAGATACCAATAGCATCGTCCCAGCTGTGACAACCAAAAACGTATCAAGATACAGCCAGATGTCCCCTGGGAGGCTAAATCGCCCTGGTTGAGAACCACTGTGCTAATGCAGAGCCATCGAAACTGGGCTTTGTAGTTGGCTTGTTTTAAAGGCATATTTGTTACTGTTTTGTAATAATGAACTGTGCTCATTGTTAAAAATTCTAGCATTGTAGTACATTACAAAAATAAAGTTTAAAAATCACTTAAAATCCCAGCAGCTAAGAATAACTACTTTCAGCATTTGACAAAATATTTTCTAGATACACTGGAGGATTTTAAGTATGATCAGATTTAATTTAGAAAGCTCATTCCTGTGTGACTCGTAGATTTGGGTGGCTGGTGAGTGGAATGGAGGAAACTATTGTAACCCTTCTGAAGCTTCAGTTTTCTCAACTGTAAATCAGGCATAATACCCACTAGTCACTATGCAGCGTCTTTGAATGGGGCTTAGATTAAATAAATAAAAAACCTCAAGGGATTCTAGAAGGAATTAAATGAGAAGATATGTATGAAAGTCCTGTATCAACTTTTAA